ATTTGGCAAACTTGACAGAAGCAATCGCTCGCTTGACCAAGTGCATGCAAAATCAATATGCTAGAATTGACAAGCTAACATATAGGGTGTAAATCTTGATGGAAAAAGAGTCCACCCATGCACCTGGCAAGCTTCCAGAAGTTCCAGAGAGTGATTCTCCCCCAAGAAAAGTAGCATCCGCTAAGGCTATCCCTGTCTCATCTGAAGGGATGATTCTGATCGATCAACTGAAGGAGTTCATTGAAGGAACTATTAAAAATAAGTATGAAGTTGTTGCCAAGTACTCTCTTACATATGCAAAGCCGTATACTACAATGATCGATATGTTGAAGATGCCTGCTGGCTATCAACCTCCAAAGTTTCAACAGTTTGATGGCAAAGGCAATCCAAAGCAACACGTGGCGCACTTCGTTGAGACGTACAACAATGTTGGGACTTATGGAGATTACCTCGTCAAGCAGTTTGACCGCTCACTAAAAGAAAATGCTTTTAATTGGTACACAGACCTCGAGGCTAGATCTATTGATATCTGGGATCAACTAGAGCAAGAGTTTCTCAATCGCTTTTATAGCACCAGACGTATTGTGAGTATGATAGAACTTACAAATACTCGTCAACGAAAAGGTGAACCAGTTATCGACTTTATCAATCGTTGGAGGAATGCAAGCCTCAACTGCAAAGACAGGATTAGTGAAGATTCTAGCTAGAGATGGGCATCCAATGTATGCATTAGGGACTGCGCTACATCTTGCAAGGTATCAAGCCTAGCACATTCGAAGAACTTGCAACTCATGCCCATGATATGGAATTAAGCATGGCCTCCACTAGAAATGAAAGGCTGCCCATCTATGAACCTCGCAAGGGGAACGACAAGCAAGAAGTCAGAAAAATGAGCAAGTTCATACCCAAGTTCGAAAGCAAAGAAACTATGAATGTGAATACATCACGTGCGAAGTTCATGACGAAGGTGAGCAAGAAGCAGCCAAGTGGAAAGTTGACTCTAAAAGAAATGCAAGAGAAGGAGTACCCATTTCTGGATTTTGATGTGCCTGCAATTTTTGAAAAGTTTCTCGAGTTAAAGCTCATTGACCTTCCGGAGATGAAACGGTCAAATGAAACTGGAAAAACGAATGACCCAAATTACTGCAAATACCATCGACTTGTGAGCCACCCTCTGGAAAAGTGCTTTGTCTTTAAGGACAACGTTATGGACTTGCCTCGTGAAAAGAAGATCGTGCTTGAAGATGAGAAAGCAAGCGCAAACCAAGTCTCTATAACCTTTGGCTCATTCAGTCCAGATGAATTATGTAATTTTAAAAGACATAAAGATGAAGAATTACTGGAGAACAACAAAGTTGAAGTTGATCAACCTGATGATGACGATAAAGGTTCGACGTTGGTGACTCATCTTAGACGTTACAAAAGGAGCCCGCTTAAAGAATCGATAGAACAAGCAACAAGGAAAATAATGGTAAAAAGAACAAGGAAACAAAATCCCGTTAAGGATTTGAAGAAGGCAAAAATGGAGGTGCACCACCCTCAAAAGCCACGACATCCAGTGACCTTGGAGGAGTTCTTACCAAGTTGGTTCCGCACGAAGATTTCTCATGAGGGAATTGATGCATCTTGTTGCCATGCTAACAATGGGGAAGAAAAGATTGATGACCTACCACTGACACCATCTTCGGAAAATCTCGTCGAGTCTATTCCTCAAGAAGTTAACGCTTGTTAGGAAAAAGTTACGTTCATGAATGACGATCTTCTACTTGGTGACACTCCTCATAACCGCCCTTTATACCTGGTTGACTGTATACGTGATGAAAGGGTAAATCGAATTTTGGTTGATGGAGGATCCTCAGTGAGCATCTTGCCAATTCACATTGTGAAAGAACTTGGTATTCTAATGAACAAACTCTCGGAAAGTCGTGTGATAATTCAAGGATTCAACCAAGGGGGAAAAAGAGTCATAGGCTCGATCAAGTTGGGGATCACCATTGAAGATATGCAATCAAGTGCATGGCTGCATGTGATCGATGCAAAGACTTCATACAACGTCTTGCTTGGAAGACCTTGGATACATGAGAATAAAGTTGTTTCATCTACCTACCATCAATGTTTAAAGTACTACGAGGGAGAAGTCGAGAAAAAGATAGTCGTTGATGACAAACTATTCACCAAGGCTGAGTCACACTTCGCCGATGCAAAGTTCTACTTGAAGAACCGCATTGTGAATGAGCTAAAAGCTGGTGATGTCATGAATGGCAAGAATGACGAGTCCACGACTAAGAGAGTTGGGGGGGGGGGGGGGGGGGTTCCGATAAAAATAAAGCTGTTGCTGAGGAGGTACACCCTAACTCAAAGTAACTCCTGCGCTCCGCTATATCAATAAAAAAGAAGAAAAAGAAGGGTGAATCATCCAAACTCCAAGCCAATATTCTAAGGGAGTTAACTCTTCCGATCCAACGAATTGAGGCAGTAAAGTTGCCATCAATGCTACTTGCATGGTTTGTGGCTCAAAATCATTCGCAGAATGTGGCAATCCATACGAAGCATACAGATGAAGGCTTTGATCCTAATGCTTACAGGCTATTTGCCAAAGATGGATATAATCCCAAGGAGCCGTCAAAATTAGGGAAGCTCCCATCAGAAGCTGCTACGAAGCAACTACGTGAAGGTTTGGCACACAAGCATCCGTCACTAGTATGCATCTCCATAAGAAGGGTGAGCAATAATTATATCACTGTAGAAGACGAATCTGTCATTTCTAACAGGCCTTCTGTCTTTGATCGACTTAGAAAATCAATTGTGAGAACTTCCGTATTTGAGAGATTGGACCATTAAAGAAGGGGAACAAGTTCCAGAGAAATTATCAAAGCATAAGAACATCCGCTTCTCCTAGAATCCAGAAGATCTCTAAGGATTTCCAAAGTTTGATTCCTTCTAGAATGAGGCGACAAACAAAATTTGTGATTTCATGTAAAGAAGTACTGAAGGTAAAGCCATATATTGTGGTCAATACTAAGGAACATGACGAAGATGAAGAAAGTATGGGTTCTTCGTATCATGTTACTGCTCAAGGCGAGAATGGTATTTCGTCTATAATAGGGAGTGATGAGAAATTGGAGGATGTCCGTGTTATCACATATCTTTCAACGATGGGGACCCTCAAAAAGATGAAGATGCAAAGGATGCTCCGCCTGAACTTGAAGAAGGGGTAAAGGCAACAGTTGACACTTTGAAAGAAATAAACCTTGGCACCGATGAAGAACTAATGCCCACCTATCTAAGTGCTTTACTAGCAGTCGATGAATAAAATATTTATATTGAGTTACTCAAGGAGTATTGGGATGTCTTTGCTTGGAGTTATAAAGAGATGCCTGGTTTAGACCCCAAAGTAGCAGTCCATCACCTTGCAGTCAGGAATGGTGCTCATCCTGTTAAGCAAGCTCAAAGGCGTTTTAGGCTGGACTTGGTTCCCCTGATTGAAACTGAAGTTAACAAACTCATCGAAGCCGGCTTTATTCGTGAAGTGAAATACCCAACATGGGTCTCAAGTATTATCCCTGTAAGGAAGAAGCATGGACAGATTTGAGTGTGTGTTGACTTCAGAGATCTCAACAATGCGTGTCCCAAAGATAAATTTCCGCTTCCTATACCAGAGCTGATGATCGATGCTACTACTGGTTATGAGGCAATGTCTTTCATGGACGGTTCATCGGGATATAATCAAATTCGCATGGCTGAATCCATCTGCCCCGCAAGAACATTGCTGAAAAGTAAAAGCTATGATGAGATGATCCTTCCTTAGCCATCGAAATGAAAAAGATATTTTCTCTGCGGTTATTAACCATATTTAAGTGATATTGTATACGTAGTCGCACTTTAATTTGTAACTGCTAAGGTTAACTTTCTTGAATCAGTAAAAATACTGGTTGGGTGCAAGTATTTACCATCATGTATGACCCTTTGTGTTCCATATAACTCTTTTTGTAATTGTAAATAAATTCTACTAGTTGTTGTTATGTTATGAAACAAAAGTACTTTGTTACGTTGATATTAGGAATGTTATGATTTGATAAGCTCTGAAGTATTAGACTAATAAAATGCATAAAAATTTTGTTTGTTAATGCCTGTAACTATTGATTCTGATTAGTGCAAGAACCATGAGTAAACTAAAGGGAAAAGGATAAGCACCACCCTGAATTTGTCTTGAAATCTCAGTTACACACCTTTACTTTGTGGGGTCCTATTACCTAACCTTAACTTGTTTTTAGGAATTTGTTATAAAATCTACCCTTTTTTAAACCTTTTTTATTACATGCATTACTTAATTTACAATGTTCTCACTTTCTTTTATTCTCAATGTTATAAATATAAATATAGTGAGTTTTGATTGCTATTAATAAAATTAATGATACTGAAAAACTACTTTTTTTTTTTCATAATTAAATGTTAGTAACTTATATGCTTGAAAACTACTTCTCATTCTTTTGTTGTATCAAAATTAATATTTATTTGTCTATAAGTAAATCCATAATATAGATTAAAAACTTCAACAACCACAACAATAAAAAAACCAGTGTAATTCTACAAGTGGGACCTGAGGAGGGTAGTGTGTATGCAGACTTTTTTCCTACCTTGTAAAAGTAGAGAAGTTGTTTTCGACATACTCACGACTCAAGGAACAATGAAAATAAATTCAAAAAATTTATAACCTCCACACCTTCCTATTTAGGGTCATGTTCTCGGTAAGCTGAAACAGATTAAAAAAGATAAAAATGCCTATTTTAAAAAAAAAAAATCAAAAAGAAAAGATAAAAGTTGTAGATGTAAAATAGGCATTTTAAAAAGTTAAGAATGAATATTGTTTAAAATTGGAGGATAAATTTAATCTTTAATGCAAATTTGGAGGCTGCAAATTATTTTAACCTTAAATTCAACAAAAAGATGGAAATATAATCAAGTTTCCTATAAATATTGTAATTCATATAAAACATCTCTGTTATTTCCGTCTCTTGAGCCGACCCAAATCCCAATCCAACTTAAAAAGGGGTTTAGGTTCATCGCCGACCCAAATCCCAATCCAACTTAAAAAGGGTTTAGCTTCATCGCATCAATATTGGGTTTGGTTGATAGTTGCGTCGAATTGTTTGCCACTATCGGAAGAGGAGGAGAAGCAGAGGCAAAAAGAGGAAGAAATGGCAGAATATATGATAAAAGTATTCCTTAAAGACAATTCAGAAAGCATCAACCTAAGAGCACGTTGTCTTGCAAATTTAACTGAGTCCCAAAAGAAGCAAATACAAATCCATTATCCCAAATCAGAAGAAGAACTTCTTTTGGATAAGAATTTATGGGAAAGAGAGCATTATTCGTTCGAGGAGATGAGGCTAAAATCACTTTTACAATCAAAAGAGGAGGATCTAAAGTGGGAAAAAGACTTGGAAGCAAAGAAGCAGAGGGAAAGAGAGATTCGTTTCGTACTGCAAAGAGAAATTCGTTTCGAACTGGGAGATGAGGTAGCGAAGAGAGTAATAGATGCATTCGACAAGACAATAAGAGAATTTTGTTCGAGGCCAGTAACTGAGGAGGAGAAGAGATTGAAACAGTCAGAGTTGGAGCACCGAGAAAAACTTGCAGCTCAAGGAAGATATCTCACGGGGGAGTATCTAACCCCCTGTCGATTCAACCCTCAGTTTTGTCATTCCCATGTAAGTTTTTCTTTTGCTATTCAATTTAGATAGAAGTATTTTCGCTCTACACGGAGTTTAATAAAAAACAAAAAGAAACACTTTGAAATTTGTGGTCTTTAAACTTAAGTGTCAAAAGCTTTGTGGGCCGTGATATTTGTGTGTTTATAAAACCTTCTCATCAAGGCTTAAAAGTGGTTAAAATGAAGAATTTCAAGCTGAATTATTTTCAATTGTAGATGTGTCATTCTTTTTAGAACGGACTAAAAAGAAAAGTGTATCATCTAAATTGAAACAGAGGGAGTAACAATTTCATGTTGTTAGATCAAATTTCTTAAACAAACTTATTGAAACATGTTCCCTTGGATGTTTATCTGATAGCTTGTTTGGATGGTTGTTACCTATTATATTGTATCGTATTGTGACTTTAAATACAATATTTGTTTGATTGTTACTTAAATTTTATTGTATCGTATCGTTAAATTTGTTGTTACGTAACAACAAAAAGTGGCACTTTATAGAACGATCGATTTGGTGTGGTCGTGTCATTACCTTATTTTTTTTCTCTAATAAGTACTATTTTATCCTTTACCCTAACTTTTTATATTATCTCGTACCTTACTTTTTCTTTATGATATTGTAAGTTTATTCTTAATATTGTTGGTGCTTGACATCATGAAATGACGACAAACAATACAATCTATCTAAACATTGTATACATCAAAACAATATAATACAATACAATACAATACAAGTACGATACATTATGAAACGATATATAACAACTATCCAAACAAGTTGTGAGTCTACCTGGGAATTATCTTCTGGCATTAAATCTGTGTTGCCAAGTATTTTAGCTTCTTGTGCTTGAGTTTACTTATTGTATATTCGTCCTATGATTTGGATTAGTTTTCATCACTCACTCTAGTGTTGGCTTGTTTGATGCAGTATTTTGACAGTGATGTCTATCTCTCTTCGGGTTTTTTTGGTGCGCCTACTTTTGGAGTATCACTACCTGGACCGGGTTTTTCTGGTGCGCCTACTTTTGGAGGATCACTACCTGGACCATTACCATCTCAGGATTTCAGTGACAATGCTAAGTTACTAATGGAACTGGCTAACCGTGCTATCGAGGAATATAATGAGAAAGAGTGCAATGTATGCAACCTTAAATTTCATTCTGTGATTAGTCTCCAGACTATCCTTCCTTTATTAACAACTAATTGTGCCTCTCCTCGCAGGCTTTCAAGTACAAGGTTTTGAAGATTGAGAAAGTGAATTATTCGTTGTCGGGAACCTTCGATATGTACTGGATGACGGTGAAAGTCTTAAATCTCACTCATGGTAGTAGTCCTGTCGAAACTTTTCAAATCCATGCTGGTAGTCGTTGCATCAATCATTTTGATAAAAAGATCTATTGTTGCCGGCCTAAAGAAGAGGTAAATTAACACCTGATGAATTTACAATTTTTTTTTTTTTTTTTGCGTGTTAGGTAAAATATATTACGATGCTGATACTATTTTTCTGGTTTTTGTTGTGGTTACGGATCTATTGTCTCTGAGCCGAGGGTCTCCCGAAAACAACCTCTCTATCCCTTTGGGTAGGGGTAAGGTCTGCGTACGTTCTACCCTCCCCAGACCCCACTAGTGGGATTCTACTGTGTGGTTGTTAGGTAAAGTATATATTTTTCTTAAAATGAATCTTATATTTGATTTTTGTGTTTCCATGGCAACTGGTCTTTTAGTTGCTCATTTGTGAGTTTTGGTATTTTGAGATAATTGACCTGTGGATTGTTTGGGATAACTATGTGCAAACACTATATGTTGGATTTTGGGAGAAGCACAAACAAAATACTATGCTTTAACCTTGAATTGCGGAGCACGTTTCCTCCCAAACAACATCCCAATATAATCTCACAAGTGGGGTTTGGAGAAGGTAGTGTGTACGCAGACCTTACCCCTATTTCAGGGGTAGAGAGGTTGTTTCCGATTAGTGTTGTAAATAGCGCTCGCCTCAGCGCTAATAGCGTGAGGCGATGCGATGCGAGCTGCCGACGCCATTTTGCTCTGTTGCGTGGCGATTTCAGAAAGGCGAGCGCCTTTGCCTATGTAGCGAGAGGCGCTGCGAAGTGCGAGGCGATGTGTAGCAGCGCTTTTTGAAAAAAAAAAAGGCAGCGACCAAACGACGATTAAAATACAAATTAGGGCTTGGGTTTTTCACTTCTTTCTCCTTCAACAACCATCAACGCCATTTGTTTTTTCGATCAATAAACTAAATATTAGGGCTTGGGATTTCATCTTCTTTTTAGTTCATCAGCGACATCATAACCCAGGTATGTTGTCCATTTCTTCTTTCTTCTTCTAGTTTCTGCTATCCATTTTTTTTCTTCAACCATTGCTGTCAAAAAAAATTTCTTTCTTCTTTTTCCTTTTTTCTTTCTTCTTTCTTTCTTCCTTTTTCTTCTTTTTTTTTTTGGCTCTGTTGTTCGAGCAAGTAGCAGAGAGTTCTTTGAGGTTTGAGCTAGCTTTATATCTTTCTTTCTTCCCTTCCTTTTTTTTTTAATCATGGATACGGGCTGAGGCAGTCAGACACAGAGCTTCTTCATAGTTCAAATCAAACCTAAAATTTACTCTTTTTTCCGGTTAGTCTTATAGAGTAGAATTAATTGCATATAGATGTTGCTTGTTTTAGTTTATGAATCTACTATGACTATCTATTGAGTTTTTAAGTTTTGAATTGATATATTTATTAATATATTATTGCTATTGAGTTTTTAGTTATATATATATATATATATATTATATTTTTTGTATAAATTGTCGCTTCACATAAAAAAGGCGAGCGCTTCGCTGTTAGCCTCTCGCCTCAGTGAAGCAGGCCCTCGTCGCTATTTGTCGCCGCACGCTATCCAAAACACTGTTTCCGATAGACCCTCGGTTCAAGAAGACGAAAAGAGACAATACATTAGTAACAACAACAGTGACCAGAAAGATAATACCATCATGAACTACCTTAAGTGGAAATCCCAAATTAGCATTGCAATAAAAATTGTCTGTTAATGCTTGTATAAAATACAAAGTTGAAGTTCGGATTAGGATTTCGTATTAACTTATGGAATAAAAGAGTTTGGAAATAGTAATCATATAGGCATTTGCTTTCTGTGGACAATGCACTTGTACTTGATAACTTTACTTCTGTTTATTTCTCTGAACTAATTTACAGGCCATTGCTGGTTTGCCAAGCTGCGAGTTTTGTTTTCGCTTGCTGCCGGAGAGGCATGCCACGGGAGGAACAGAAGAGGCATTTGAACTATAGCTATATAAATTTGGTCTGTTTGAGATTTCATTATTATAGATTTAACCCCCTTAACCTTTAATGGCTAGGAAACACTACCCTCTGACCTTTTGAATAGGAATGTTAAAGTCATGCTTTGTCCATTGAACTAAAAAGAGAGGCAGCAATACGTTTTTTGGTATTAAAATTATACACATTACCGGAAAATATTGTTCTAGGGAGTTATATTGTTCTCATTCAACAGGTGGAAGGGTATTGTTCTGCTTGTAGTTTAAGAGCTTTACTTCGGTAATTGATCTGACCTCTTTGTTAATTGAGACTATAATGTTTTAAATGTAGTAACTGTTGACATCATTTTAACTATGTAGTTATAAGCCCTTTAATTGTATGTGTTTTCTTGAATTCTCTTGAAAAATGACAGATAATGAACAAGGGTTTCATTACATCGCCGCCTGGATGTGAGCAATATAGAACTTACATGAGCTTAAATAAATGATATTGACAGTGAGGATTCATAAGACTGATGGGTTCGCTTGAATTAGCTTTTGCGCAGATCTTATATATGTATTAAGAAATCCACTTCAAATTCTGAATCTGCCTCTATGACCGAATCCACAACTATTATAATTTAGCATTGTAGCTCCTTGTTTTGCTGATCATAAGCAATGGATGGAATATAGTTTTTCCAGAACTGGATAGTGGTTTTGCTGCTACTTGATTCTGATGTGTCTTCCCAATAGCTTCAATAATTCATACAGGGGCGGAACTAGAGTGTCGGGAGCGGATTCAGCCGAACTCAGTAACTTTAGTTCGAACCATGTATTTGTCTTAAAAAAATTCATTGAATATATATAAATTATTAATTTAGAATCGAATAATTTAAAACGATTATAATTTCGAACCCATAATCTTGAAATCTTGGTTCCGCCTCTAAATTCATATACCCTACTGTATAATGTACCTAAAAAGTTAACAAAACTTTGCTATAATAGTTGGTTTCATTATTGATTCTCTGCCTTCCTGGATCATAAAGTTTCTCTAAATAATTTTATGAAAAACAATAGAAAATTCACATCATGCAGCAGAATAAAGAACATTATGGATGTGTGGTGTCCTTTACAACAGAATAAAGAACATTATAGAATATAATTATTGTAATTCTTAGAAAATTACTATAATAATCAAGTTCCTATTAGTGTTCTTAATCAGTTAAAGCCATGTCGTTCTTGAATTTTACAACAGCACAACTAGCTGCACTATTTTTTAAGTGCTTACTTGATTTGGCAATATAGTTCTTAGCTTTGTGCATTACCATAGATGTGCATTACCATAGATATTCACAATTTTGTGCATATGAAGGGTCGTAAATGAATTGAGTTTACCTTTTATGCACTGATAATGTATACCTGTTTTACACTATCAAATAAATGCGACATGTAATGATAACCAAATGTCCATAATAAACCTAATCAGGTAACACTATAAATAACTTGTCATAACAAATTAAAGTAAATTGATAGATCAATAGATGCGGGACATGTTGCATGGGTATAAACTTCTGTCACCTTATCATTTGGTTAATTAGTGCATATTTTCATCTCAGTAAATAATTTAAACATGGCAAGTTGCTATTATTTGGTAGAAACACCGGATCTAGGTAAGTATTTATCATCCGTATTTAACAACTTGACATTTTCACAGAATATGCCATGATTATCTACAATTTAAACTCCTTGTCTCTACAAACTAATCTATATTGTTATAAGAGCACGAAGCTTCAATACAAAATGTTAATCAACATTTTTTATACGAAATGTAAATCGATATTTTTACACAATGTAAGTGCATTCGGGAGTAAGGGTAAGTGTTTTATTTTGAATCACAAGGGGTGTATCTATAACTAAGTTATTGAATTATAAGTGGGTAATATATAACTAAGTTATTTTATGTGGGTGCATGTTTATTTTAATTTATTGGGGGTGGTGTGCTGTGTTTTAAGTGGGTGGTTATTTTTTGGCGTTGACCAGTGTAGCTTTCAATTGGAAAAAAAACAGAGCAAAGTCGAAATCAAGAACTAAAAAAAGTACAAACACACATAGAGAATTAGAGGTCAATGATGAATGGAACATGCTTATCAGCTCAATCCTCAAAGCTAAACGAGCTTAATATTCAAACTTTGAATGGAATTCAACAGCAGCTTGTGAAACTCGTCAATTCAAGGTACCGTGCTTCTTTAGTTTCAGTACATGATATTCCAATTATCTGATTCTAAATGGTTTTTCACCATTTTCATTTTCTTGATACTCTTTTACGTGAAAAATTATCTGCCCAATGTTTATATCAAACCGGTAGGTGCATAATATGTGTTAATACATATTTATTACTTAATCATAATTTGTTAATATATATTCTCACCTCATCAAACATTTAACGATCATAATTTGATGTAATTTATTAATATATATTCTCATCTCATCAAACACTTAACGATCGTAAGTTGATATGGTTTAACGTAAACATGGATGCAGATAAGTTATCCCTTTTAACGCAAACTGTAGGTTACTGCATAGGTTTCTAGTTACATTGCAAAACCAAGATTTTCTTTTCTTTTTTCTTTTCCTAATTTTCTTGGAACATATTAACAAACAACCATATAGCTAAAAGATAGATGTAGAGGAAAATGACTTGCGCCCATCAATGATGCAAATTATTTTCCCTTCTTTGCTATTTAGTTTAGGGTACCGATTTCATTAATTTAAGACAACATAACATTAGAAAATCATCAAAAGAACCATTTTACACTATACCAAACAGTTGTAGTTTTCCTATTTAACTCCTCTAAATTAAAATGGGAACTTTGGATTCTCATCGGAGCTGCAAGTATGAAGGTTGGTGTTTAGAGTATTAGATTTAATTGCATCTGTATATTTATAAGAATTCTGCTCATGAACTCTATCCGTGAAAATTGCGTGTTATTACCAATTTCTATGAATCCTTCAAAATCGAACTCATTAAGGGTGAGCCCACCGATTCCCAAACTGGCTGGGCTTTCCTTAGTTGCTCATGTTAGGCCGGGTTTTGTTCCAAAGGAGGCAACGTGGAAATGATACTAGGTAAACCCCTTCTAAACATGATGTTTATAATATATCCACAGTTTATAATGTATTTAAAGATTAGTCAATTTGCTCAAACTTAAGGACACGACGTCCTGAAGTTTAAACCGACACCATATCCTGAATTTTAAATTAGTAATTCAGAAATTCAGGATGCTTAGTCCTGGATTTTAAATTAGCAGCTCAAAAATTTAGGACGCTAAGCCCTGAATTCCAAATTAGTAGCTCATAAATTCATAATACTTAGTCCTAGTTTGTGTGAATTAACTAATCTTTAAATATATTATAAATTGTGGATATATTTTAAATAGTAGACTTTAAAGTGACTACTGCTGCACTTCGCCCAAGGTAACCCATCCAAGCCGGAGAATTTTATTCTTGCGGCGAGGAGAAAAAAAATCAAATGGAGATGGAAGGAAAATACTTTAACATGTGAAAGTCCTATTGTAAACACATTATGACTACGGGGTTTGTCCACCGTCGTTTCAAAAATATCGGATTTATCTAAACTCAGTTGAACGCTGAGATTTGCCGTTGTGTCATACATTATAAAAGGTCGGGATGTAAAGTGGTTATAATTGTTTTGTATGATTTAAATATTATTGGAATTCCCGAAGAGTTTCCAAAATTGTCTTCAGGCATGGTTTCTTGATCAGTTTGGAGTGCTTCATGATGGGAAACAACCTTATCCTGGTGCCATTTCGACGTGTAAGTTTTCATCTCTTAGCTTTGATATTTTGGTGATTAAGCTTGTATATACACACCTTTCAGTGGTTCCTTACTGTTTTAATTAGTTTTCCTAATGTCTAACTAATGATGTTAATTAAGCAGTGGAAAGTTAGCAAGTTATGGTGCAAAATGGGCAATCATTAGTAATTCTTCAAGAAGAGCATCTACAACCCTGGAAAAATTGAAGAGCCTTGGATGTGATACATCACTCTTTCTTGGTGTTATTACCAGTGGCGAATTAACACATCAGTATCTTCTAAGGTTACCTATTTTACATTTAAGGTAGATACTAAGCAAATTATATAATGATTTATATCTTTGCTGACCAGACTCCGCTTGTGGGATTAGACTGAGTCTGTTGTTGTTTTTATATCTTCGCTAACTTTCTATCGATCATCAAATTAAGATGCTTTCAATATATGGCGCTTCAAATTTCTTTGTATTATGCATGTCTGATGTCTCGCTTGACTTTTGATCTACCAAATGACTGCTCTCACCGTCTCACATAGTCATCATCAACGACTATCACTGCTAACTTCTCTCTTTCATCCCTCACATTATATCATTTTTATTTTTAGAATGTTGCTTTTAGGACTGTCAATTCAAGAGAAAAACTTAATAAAATCAAATGTAGTTTCTATCAGATTTGTAAGTGAATTTGCTCCATTACATATAATTATGATCAGGAGAGACGACGAATGGTTTGCCTCTTTAGGAAGATCATGCATTCACTTGACTTGGAGCGTCAAGGGTGCTATCTCTCTCGAGGTACATAAAGTTTTGTGAACTCCTTAGATTAATATCCTTAGTTTTCTTTACTGTTTGAACTGAAAGAAAATGTTAGTCTTTCTCAACTAAGTGGTTAGTGGCTCTGGTTTTTTACTTCAGGGTCTCGGACTAGAAGTAGTGGAAAATGTTCAGGAAGCCGATTTTATTTTGGCTCACGGAACTGATGCTTTGGGCCTTTCTTCTGGTGACTCACTTCAAATGAATCTTGATGACCTTGAGAAGATACCGGAGCAATGTGCTTCTAAGAAAATTCCTATGGTGGTAGCAAATCCTGATTATGTAACTATAGAGCCTGGAAATCTACGTGCTATGCCCGGTAAGAATGCTTTTCTTGCACTCATGCTTTTGCTGGTTGAGTTACTTTATACTTGAGGGCATGTGTCCTCATAGGCGGATTCAGGATTTGAACTTTATGGCGTTGAGTTCGAAATTCTATCACAACTCTTTGATTTACTGGTTCGAAATTTGTTATTTTGTACTTATATAGTGAATCTTTTAATGTGTAGAGTGAAATATGGGTTCGGAGTATGTTATAGATTGCCACCTTGTACCTTTTCTTTGGGCAGCTTGGTGCAACGCAGGATCCGGGGAAGGTCATGTAGGCAACCTACCCTGATGCAAGCATCGTTGGTTGATTCCACGGTTTGAACCTGTGACCTATAGATCACACGAAGATAACTTGACCATTGCTCCAAGGCTCCCCTTCACCTTGTACCTTTTCTTTATACCCGAGAAATTTCCGAACTAGTAGATAATGGGGGCACCTCTATCCTTCTTTTCTTAAATACTAGGCTTTTGTTTATGATAAGGTTCTAACCCCCTAGGTGTAGCCCACACATGACTAAATGCGCATTTACTGTTACCGCTAGACCAAAGCCCTGCCGACACCTGTCACATTGTACCTTGTCTTTGTCCATCTTTAGATTCAAGACTGAGATTCTTCTCTTTGGACTTATTTTTCAGGAACATTGGCAGCCACATATGAAAAACTTGGAGGTGAAGTAAAATGGATGGGTAAACCACATAAGGTAAGTTATATTCAAGATATGTCTTGTAGAAGGTCGTAACATTAGTTTCATATCCTTGAATTGGTGGCAGCCAGGATTTTAACTTTATAAGTTCGACTTCGAAACCACAATACATTTGATACTGATCTGAGTCACAGCTACTGAATGAAACCATAACTAATACTCTACGTCCGCCCCTGATTAGTGGAAGAACATCAATGTAGTGCTTATATACATGTCATTAATCATTATTTGTCTGATGTTGTGCTTCTTTGTCTCAATTGATATATTCTGAACATCGTTGAACTATCTCATGACGAGCTCGTCGCAGCAGATAATATACAAGTCAGCTACGGAAATGGCTGCTGCTGTGGATGCCTCTGATTGTATTAACGTAGGAGATTCCTTGCACCATGATATCAAAGGCGCGAATGCAGCTGGAATTGCATCACTATTTATCACATCATGTGGAGTTCATGCTACTGAACTTGAACTTAGTAAATTCGGAGAAGCTGCAGATAATAATTCTGTACGTGCTCTTGCCTTGAAATACGCTGCATATCCTACACATGTGCTCGGTGTTCCCTTCTTTTACGTGGTCAATTAAAAACTAGCAGGGGCTTAGATTTATGTCCCTCTTCAGTCTTTCAGGCTGTTTGGATGGTTGTTACTGATTGTATTGTATTGTTAATTCAAATTCAATGTTTGTTTGATTGTTACATAAATCTTATTGTATTGTATAATCAAGTCTTTTGTTATACAAGAGCAGCCGCGGCCAGCCAAGAAGTAAGGGCAGCCCGGTGCACTAAGTTTCCATTATGCACGGTGTCCGGGGAAGGGCTAGACCACTAAGAATCTAATATAAGCAGTCTTACCCTACATTTCTGCAAGAGGTTGTTTACACGACTCAAACCCATGACCTCGGTCACATGACAACAACTTTATCAGTTACGCCAAGACTCCCCTTCATGGTCAGCCAGGAAATACTGAAGTAAAATCCAAACAAAGCTACCCATAAAACATCAGAACAAACAATCTGATTGATATTATTCTGATCATAAAACTAGAATAGACTTTTTCAAACCTTTCTCCAATTCAGTTGGTAGTCACTCTCCTCCATTTGAAGTCTCAAACAAGACTTCAACACGCGGACGACGGCTATTAATCACTCTGCAATCCTGTCTAATCTCACCTGGCTGGCCAGATTGCAAGTCACCCATCTTTATCATCCCTTCAACAAAAGCCATAAAGAATTTCTTCTGACTTACACTAAATTCTCTTACATATTCCCTTGTAAAAGGATTAGTAAAAAGTGTTTGATCTGAATTCAAGAACCCTCTACCATTCACCAAGTCTTTGAAATATTGATTGTCAAATACTTCAGGTGTTGCATCCAAATCTCCTGTTACATTCCCATCTCCACCAAGTGGACAAAGCTTGTCTAACTTTTCTCTGAATCTTGGTTCAATGGTAGGATCAGGCCGGCCCGAGCCGGACTGATTATATAGCCTAAAGACAACAGAAAAACACCTTCCTTTGCCAATGGAATGAGAACCAGAAAGTGCTACAAGATCTTTCATTGAGAGATTATATCTGCTGAAAAGATCAATGAGATATGTTGCATTTGATCTTGGGCTTGGCATGATTTGGTTTGAATCTTCTTGACTTGCTGTTAAACTATCTAGCCTTCCCAACTTCACTTCCCAATTTGGACCTCCAGTCTGAGTAGAAGTTTAAAACAAATAAGATCCTCTGTTTTACCAAGTAACTCAAAAGACAACATAGGGAAAAGAAAACGAAAAAGAGGAGATTTTTCATCATAATTACTGTAGTACAAAATTTGGGGTTCCTTTTCCTTTTTCTTTTACCCCTACTCACTCCTCAATTTGTAATACCAAGAACTTAGTATACTAATGAATTACTTGTATTCCTCAAATTCCGGCAGAGACAGAAATATAGTATGTGATTTCTTATCTGTTTAATTTTTGATGGGCAGAATTTCCTATTACCTATGCTTGTGGGAGTGGAAGGTAGCAAGTTCGCAATAGCATAATCAAAATACACAAAAGTTATTTCGAACACCAAAAGAAATTCAATTATTTGGGCTCCTTTGGTTTACATAAAGCTTACTTTGACCTTATCAAAAGAAAAAAACAATTAAGCTTACTTTGAGATACATATTTATATGATTATATCCTTCTTCTCCTCCCCTCCACCACTCCCACCCCCTACTCCCCCCCCAAAAAAATTCTAATTAGCTGGTAGGCAAAAACTCAGAAAAGAAATGTTTCAGTATGGAAATCTCCCCACACCTCCCACACCAACACCAGTGCATTAAGCTTTCGCTATGCGCGGGGTCCGAGTAAAGGCCGAATCACAGGGGTTTATTGTACACCGCCTTACCCTGCATTTGTGCAAGAGGCTATTTCCACGGCTCAAAGCCGTGAACTTCTAGTTATATGACAGTAACTTTGATACGCCAAGCCTAACCACCACCACCCAAAAAAGATGATTTTTTTCCTTTTTTGGAAATGGAAGTTGAAAAGATGAGAATATAAATATACCAGAACAACAGCATCTCTGGCAGCCATGATTAAAAGATCAGCACAAGAAACAACACCAGGGCAGGCTCTTTCCAGTGCCTCTTTAACTTCATCTACAACTTCATAAGACCTCAGTGAATTTATATTTGATAAAGCCAGTTTTTCTCCAAGCATATTTGGTGTATCATCCAACAACAAAGACGCATCACATCCCTATAAATAAATAAATAAACACAAAAATTAACCCCAAAACAAGAATTTTCAAATACAGGAAAAAAAATGGATTCTTGAAATTTTTATTACATTAACAAAGCAATCATGAAACTGCAATCTCATAACTGAGGCTACGCTTCTGGGCTCTCTTTTCATTGCTTTTTTCATCACATCTTTGACTATAGATTCAGCTTGTGGACATGTTTCTGTGTAAAAACCTGGCCTAAGTGTAGGAACAGCCATAGCTGCAAAAGCTAAGCTTATAAGGAGAAAGAAGAAAAAATGGCTATAAGGCATTCTTGATTCTTGAATATTTTTTTACTAGTGTTTAATTTTTTTCGTTTGTTGTATTGGTTCTTGAAAAGGGAGATGAATGGTATAGGGAAAAATTCCTGATTTGCATGTGTTGTCAGTATTATATAGGGGAGACAAATAGGCCAATTGTGAAGAGTTTGTTTTGGTTGGGTGATAAATAGGGTGTGTGGGGTATAGTCATGAATCTGCATAATTTTTGAAAATCACGTCATTTATTTTCTGAATTTTCAACTAACTGAACCCACTTGTTGTATAGGTAGGATTTAGGAGTTTAGGAGTAGTTTTTTTTATAACCATTTTGTATTTGATGTGCACTGTCCGAAGGGGCGGAGCTACAGTAGTGGGTGTGAGTTCGGACGAACCCGGTGACTTTTTCTGGAATTCTGTATTTGTATTGAAATAATTACTAAATCTATATAAATATATACTGCCGAACCCAGTAACAAAAAGGGTTTTAGTTCAATGGTAAGGGTTGTGGGTTCGCTAGGAAAGATGGGGGTTCGATTCTCCCTGAAAGGCCCGATTAATCCAGATCGTAAAATCAATTAAAAGGGAAAGTGTTCCTGGTTAATTAATCTTGACTCATATCGTATAAGATCACTTAAAAGGGGAAGCACTAGTCACCAATTTTTCTTTTTCCATTTCTAGAGCTCGAATCTTATATTTCTAGGTAAAAGAACGGTTATTCTGAGCCGAGAGTCGGTTAGAAACAACCTCTCTATCTTCACTAGGTAGAGATAAAATCTTCGTACGCACTACTCTCCTCAGACCCCACTTGTAAAATTATAATGCGTTTATTGTTGTTGTTGGAACAGAAAGATTATATGATCTACACTCTTGCCTAATTTTTGTTCTGTTTTTGAAAGATTCTTCTTTTTCATGCGGGTAGCATTAGTATTAGTTTCGTATTTTTATATGGTCTTATTCGCCGATTTCTTTTATTATATGTTGTTTCCTTCGCTTAGACTAATCTATCACCTTTGCTTGATGCTGTTACTACTTATTGTTTCTGTTTTTATTTTTTATTTTTTCTTGAGCTGGAGGTCTATCGGAAACAACATCTCTATTTTCGTAAGGTAGAGGTAAAGTCTGGGTACACTCTATCCTCCTCATACCCCATTTCGTGGGATTACACTATTTTTTGTTGGTGGTTGTTATTGTTTTTGGTAAAAAGAAACACTCTATAAACAGCAAATTGAATTTCAGATTTTCTTTTGTGAATGTATTTATACTAGTTCCTTCATCTCAAAAGGAGTAATGACTTTCAATGTACGAATTAAATGCTATGTCCGACTTATAGAAGTAGTTTTCAAAAGTGATTTAAGGCTGAAGATTCTTTTATTACATTTAGATCTAAATCAAAATAAATGTGAACAACGCAAGTAAGGGTGGGCGTTCCGGCAATTTGGATCGGATATAAAAACTTATGTTTGGATTTTTAATTTTCAGATTGAAAAAATGATAATCCAAATCCAATTCAAATAAGCTTGGATTGGATCGGATATTTTAAGTTCGGTTTCGGATTAAACGGTTTGGATATTTTGGATTTTCGTTTTGAGCTTATAAGTTGAGATATTTTTTTTTTACAAAAATAAATGTCCAAATGAAGTACTCATGTTAAATTGCCTAAAAAGTTCATCATTCTCAGTCTCACTCCAATCATCCAAATATAGTATTCAAGTAAATAAATTATTGTCAAGAAAATGCAACATAAACATTAATACGGCCGATAAGAAATATCAATAGTAAAACCATGTCAAATAGAAAGTATTCTGACAGTAACTTAGTAATTAATATTGAATATATGAGATAATATCTAATGGTTAGGGTATTGAACTTATTACTGTTGGCATATGGATAATGGACTAAATATAAATTATAAATTTTTTGGATACTCAGATATCCAAAAATCTAAAGTACCAAATCCAACATCCAATTTGAATCAGAAAAATTTAAAAATTAAATCCAAAATCCAATCCGTAATCCGAAAATTCAAACAAAAAATTCAAACCAAAAATTCAAAAAATTCGAATTTCGGGTTTGCCCAAATTATGCCTACCCCTAAACGCAAGTTTAGATTAATTACTTGATTAATATTAGGAAATGGTTAAGGATATTTCAAATAATGTGAATGAACTAAACAAGGGCGTAACAAAGTTTATTTGTACAAAATTATTTGATTTATTAATGGCACGACCCCAAATTCCCTCCGTAGGATGTCGTGATGGCTCCTAGTCTCTAAGACTAGGTAAGCCTATCAATGCGGAATAAAAATAAAATCTGAAATAAATAAATCTGAAACTTTACATAATTACAACCCCCAAAATCTGGTAGAAATAAGTCACAAGCTTCTAAGAATTTATCCTCAATGTCTCTATATAACAGAGTCTAAAGAAAATAAGGAAGCAACATAACAAGAATAGAAGGGGACTCCAGAGTCTGCGGACGCTGGCAGATATACCTCGAAGTCTCCGTGCACAGGTACTCACTGATATCTGGGCTGGTAAGAAGTGCCTGGATCTGCACAAAAAAGTGCAGAAGCGTAGTAGGAGTACACCACATCGGTACCCAGTAAGT